AACAGGTCTATAAAAATGAATGTGTTTTCTCCATCCTCTGCTGTGTGCCAAATTGCTGCCTCCAAATGAGGCAGTGTGTTCAGCAAGAGCTGCAGTGGAAACCACCCCAGCCACCCTGGCCAGGAGTTAGGCCAGTGCTGCTCTTCAGCCTCTCATAGTGCATTGCTGCAAGCACTGCTTTGCTCTGGCTCCTCCAGGGTGGGGAGGGAATCCAGTTCTTGCAGGCAGTTCTCTTCTAATTAAGGAGCTTTTACTCTCGGAAATGGAGTCATCAGGGAGATTCCCACCAGTTCTAGAGTGTTGAGATAAGGAACTCCAAAGGTGTTTCATTGACATAATGTCAGGTTTAGCTGCCAAATCATGTGTGTGCTGAGCTTTCAACATAACATCTTTGCTTCTGGAAATAGTTTTTCAAAAGAAATCTTTGTGGTTTTGAGTAGCCATATCTGTTTGCAAATCTTAGTGCTGCCCTTACCTGAACTTTTACATGCTGTTCCATGTTTGGTATTGTGTTTCTATAATGCTTTTCTTTCCCATTTCTTTGTTGCTCCCTCACTCAGAGCCTGGATATGATTGATGATGAGGTGAGATACTAGTGTGCTGTTGTGGTGAATCTTGTGACCATCGCGTGGCAATGTATCGTCTCTTTTGCAGAGTCACATTTCTTGTTTTATGGTGTTGTGTGGTGAACCCCCTTGTTGGAGCAGAACATGCAGGTGTCACTGGCTCCTCTTTCCTTGAGTTCCCCTCTCCTTTTTGCTAAGAGTTTTCAAGGCCACAGCAAACTGCAGTTTTTGCAGTATGCTGGGAGGGGCAGGAGAGTCAGTGTCAAAGCAAATCTACAAGGCCAAGCATCAGCTGCACTGTGCTCCTGCTGGCAACAGGAGAAGGAAAAGATAGTGCTTAAACCATCTTTTCCCCAGCCCTGAGAACTGGACAGCCAGAAGCTGAGAGAGCTCCCAGCATCATCTAACTCAGTGTAAAAACTGCTGCAACAGCAGACAGCTGCTGCAGCCTGTAGCAGCTGCTTTGCTGACCACAGCCAGGACAGAGTAGCTTTTGTTTCAGCCCCACTGGCATACCCCTGGGTGGAATAAAATGCCAGAGCAGGGACATGGGGCTACTCCGGCAGCTGATATCCCACCTGCCCTTTGTGGTACGGTTTGTGCTGTCATCTGCAGCAGTGATGAGAGCAGGGCCAGGGCTGTGGGATCACTGTGTGTTCCATACTGCTCCTCTGTGTCATCGCATGAATCTTCCATAGATAGTACCAGTCTCACTGGCTGTTTGATGTCATCACTTTAAACTTTGCAGTGGTTTTCTGAGGGTTTCTTTTTCCCCTCAAATTTCTTGTTTTACAGCTTAAACAAATCATAAATATCTGTGAATGAGCCAAGGAGGTGGAATGCACAATTCGTTGCATCCTTTAGAAACCTTATAATTTGAAGGATAAAAATCTTGTGGGGGAATCGAGCATACCTGGTTTGAATTGTGCCACCTGGCCCTTTGAATCCCTGTTTGAGTTAAAAGGAATGCCAGTTCCTTTTTCTTCTATGGTTCTATAGATAAAAGATTTTTTGGGTACCTTGTACTTGTTCTTGGGTGTCTGGTTAGATAGACATGTAATATAGCAGTGTGAAATTGTTATTATTGTAGTGTAAAGATTGTAGTGTACCTCTTGTACAATACAAGAGGTATTGTACAGATACCTCTGCTGCTGGCGGTTTGTGCAGGAAAATGTTGTTACTCATCTGTTACCCTTTCAATAATAATGTAGCATGTTTTTGTCACAGATCCTCGACGATGGACAATCGCCTAAGCACAGTCATTGTCAGAGTCGTGCTGTTCACGAGTGGAGTGTGCAGCAGGTTTCCCACTGGTTAATGAGCCTGAACCTTGAACAGTATGTTGCTGAATTCAGTGCCCAAAACATTAACGGGGAGCATCTCCTTCAGCTGGATGGGAGTAAGCTCAAGGTAATTAACTGACTGGGCTTCAAGAGTAACTATGGTATTTTTTGTCATTTACATAATCTTAAAGGCAGTAAGAATTCGTTCAGAAAGCAGTAAATCCCTGCATGTGGAGTGGTGATAGACTAGAATAATAACACAGAGTATAAAGCCACAGCAACACTTCAAGAAATTCCCATATGCACTTGGATTCAGAAGCTTCAGAAATAGAGGGCAATTGCTTTGTGAAAATTCTTGGTGTATATAATGTACCCGCATTTGCCTGTGTAAATCATATAGCAGCATGTGTAAGTGGTATTTGCATGCATACATTTCTTATCCCTCTCTGTTCTGTGAAAGGATGATTCAGAGAAGGTAGTGGACAGAAACATATCAGAACTAGCAACAGAATAATGGATTAGTGGGATACTGGAGGCATAAGCTGATACCATTTGTACTGTATTAGAACTAAATATAGGATGTATAAAGTATGCATTGTTTCTTGTAGTGAAAATGCAAACCTACTTCTGTAAAAAATAATTACAGGAAGGAGTTGTGGGAAGCTCAGCAGATCTGAAAGTCCAAGTTTGGTGTTTCCTTTCTGCATTTTTTTGATGGCACTTCACTAACTCTAGGGGTTTTAGAAGAGTGCAAGTGAACTTTTGACTAAGGCATAGCAGTGAAAATTGGGAAGTCTTGTTCTATGTAGACTTAGATGACTTCAAGAAAATAGTTTATTTGCCTTACTTGATCAATGAAATCAACATTGGTAGTGGCAATGAGATCTCATTCTTTAATATTCTAGACGTGAAAGGCATGGAAAGTAGTACTTACAGATCAGATCTGAGTCTGTCTCAGATCTACTTAGTTGTTACAGTCGTCTACCTAAGAGTTACTATTAGAATATGAAAAAAAATTGTGACAGATTAAACCATATGAAATTCTTTAATTTTTTTCTCCACTTCAGGCTCTTGGTATGACATCTTCCCAGGACAGAGCAATCATTAAAAAAAAGCTAAAGGAAATGAAAGCATCCTTGGAGAAGGCTCGCAAAGCTCAAGAGAAAATGGAAAAGCAAAGGGAAAAGCTTCGGAAGAAGGAACAAGAGCAACTGCAGAGGAGATCGAAGAAAACAGAGAAGTGTTCATCAGATGCAACAGAGGGCACTAATGAGCAGTGATAAGGAGAAGTGCGGCTGTGTTCAGAAAGTGGAGGCACGTCAAGGGAAGAGGAGCTCATATCCACTGGTGCCCCTTCAGCTTTGTTGTATTCATCACCCAAGATCGTGTACAGAGAAATGGGGCTATACATAGAATGACTAGGGAAATTTATATTGTGTAGTTTTCTTTTCCCGCATATCCAGTTCACGCTTGTTGTTGTTGCCATGTGAAACAACCCCAGCTCTTCGGTTTGTTTTGTTCTTGCTGCCAGCTAACAGATTTCATATTTGTGTGGTGGTGTTTCCTTCCAAACTACTCTTCTCTATTGAGCTGTGTGTGTTTGGTCACTTCAATAACCAGCATGATGCCAAGGAGCATGGTCCACTGCTTCACCTCTTCTGAATAGGATGGCCAGTCAATACAATTGGTGAACATTTCTTCAGCTGGGTAAAAGGAGTTGTGCTCTGTCTGATAAGACTTGACTTCACTTTCTAACTGGAAGTTCACCTTCTTTACAGTGTTTGGATACTCAGTTCCATCTGCTGGAGTAAGTTTCATCCTGTGTCAGTACCTTTAAGCGACACTGCTCGGGAAACACAACTGTTCAATGACTTCTTCTTATACACTGGAGATAAGACAGGAGAGTCAATATTCCCCCTGGGTAAAAGACAGGAGGTGAAACTCTTTCTGTTAACTGTACAATAGTTAATCCAGGAAGGAGGCAAAGCCTTAAATGGTTATGTGGGTTTACACAGAAATCTGAGGATAACATTTATCCTTTAGATATCTGAGCAAGGATAAATTTCTAACTAGAGCACAGCATATATATCTGTATAAATTTCATTGTGCTCCCAGTGTGTAGGCAACTTTCTTATAGCACACTCCACTTTCTTTTTCATGTGTTTTGAACAGGAAACTAGGTTTATTTTGTTTCGAGGTTTTGGGGTTTTTTTTTAGGAAAAACACCACATCTTCAGATTCATTCTCCAACAAGCATTGGAAGAATAAGCTTTGTGCTCTGCTATTATGAAGCTGTTGTTAGAAACAATTATCCGACTTGAGTCTGCTAAAGATTTCTATTTTTTACAGAACTGCACTTTAAAAAGAGGAAGACGAGTGATTCTGGTTAAAATTAAATTCAGTACATTGCTTTTAAGGTCAGTGCTGCCATGGAGATGATGGTTACTAAGTCCAAAGCTCCCACATTTTAACTGCTTTGACTGATGTGTTTAAAGAATATCCCCACCAAAACCTGCATTTTGGGGCATTGGCTGTAGAATGTTGGCTTAGCAGTGGTCATATTATATCTTTCAGAGATTCCCGTGGTGTGTGAGGTCATCGGTGAAGCCTGCTTTGTAGTTTTGACTATGACAAACAGAAGCAGTGTAGGGTGTTACTGCCTCTTAAGTGCAGCATTAAACTATACAGTATTTCTTCAAAAGAATGGGGAGACAACAGGCAAATGTCCACAATGAGAAGCTGGGGTTTATTAGCTTTACAGTTGAAGCTAACTATGTAGCAGTTGAGAAGCGCCACTTCCCATTCATGCATCCTGGAAGTGGCGGTCTTCATCTGGTTGTGCCAACCCATATATTGTTTTAGATGGTGACATAAAGTTAGAATCTTGAACTTAAAAACATGCCAGCCTGAAATTGCAAATACCGAATTCTTTTGAAGAAAACGTCTGTTTTAGTTTGGCTTGGCTTCTCTTCTGCTCTGCACTTTGCAGCATTCAAATTCATTTCTACAAAGTTCTCTGAAGCTCAGGTTTGAAACACTTGGGGTGCACTGCTTATAGTTACATTTCTTTTGATTCTAATCATTTCTTTGACATATAAAATGGTCTATAAACTGAGACAGTGTAGTTCATTCAAAATTAATACACGGCAGATCTACTTAGCATTAGCTTTATTTTTCCTTCCAAATCCAATTTCTACAGGTTTTTGATGTATATTTTATTCATCTCTAAAACTGAAATTACCATAAAAGATACTTTCTGATATTTCTGAAGGCTTGCGATATTTTTCTTGAGATAGACCACTGGCAGAAAAATACACCTGCTAACAAAAATTACACATTGCAGTAAATCTTTCTGTGCTCTTTATAGGAGAAAAATTATACAAATGTTTAACAGCCTCATAAAACTAGCATTCTTTGAGTAAGAGAAGTTATCTGGAAGAAACTGGAAATTTAATCTCTTAAATACAATGTTGATAAATGCATTTGATGATGATTTTCTTTTTAAGTTATGTTTACACTGTAGTAGTGTTTAAGTGGTTGTATATAGTAATCTCAGGTGGTGTCCCCATTTTATGTTCTTTGTTTTCTTAGAAACCTGAGCAGACTGCTTGACTGAGTTTTCATTCTTGCTGCTTAGAACAGTGCCTAGTTAATCTCTTTGTAAATTGTGTTCTTATTCTGCAGAATAACTAATTCGACTTAAGTCCTTTAAGTATTCAGGGGATTTTTACTGCTTCGTGATAATGTAATTTTGTTATTCTCAGACTACAAGAAAAAAACCCAACAAACAAAAGCCTAACTTAAAAAAATAGTAGCTTAAATTTAAAATAAAACTATTAAAATGCATTTTGATCAACATGTGAAAACTAAGCAAACAGAACAATGTCAAGAATTTTACTCTTCTTTCTGTGATGAAAGAGATTTATGTGGTTCCTTTTATTAAATATGCTACTCGATCTTGGGATGTGTAGAAATGTCACTGGATAACAGACATAAAGCATAGTTTGAAACTTTTCTTGCTGTTCTGCAGGATCTTTAAAATTGTGTTGCCTTTTTTCCCCTTGTACTGTGTAATGACATGAAACAAAAGATGGATGTCTCATCATTCTTAACCCAAACTTCCTGTAAACCAGTGTTAAGTCAGAGTAATATGGGGTTTGATGTAATAAGAAGAAACAAATTTCTGGACTAAATGTCTTGACAGATTTTCTCATTTGGCTCACTTGCAGGTGTACTTGTTGCCTACTTTGTGTATTTATTTCTGGAGCTAAAGCTGTTTTGATTAGTCTGACTTGCCTGGCCACCATTAAACTGCTGTGCAGGCAGTGTGGAGTTTCCATGCGCTTGTGTCATCATTACACCCAGGTGACCACAGCAGGCTGATGAAGTTATTTTCTCTCTGGTTTGGGTGGTAGGCCAGTTCTGTAAACTCTAGTTTCTGCTCATTGCTGCAGTATTTCCAGGTTGTGAATATATTGAGCCTCTAAAAAGGTGAAGAAAGGACAGTTAGCAAAAAAAATGGAACTCTCAGAAAGAGAAAATAAAAGATACAACACTGCAAGTTACTTTAGTCTGGAAAAATCTATTATACTGACATTGTGAAGGAAGTTGTACCTCCTTGCTCTGTTCAAATCAGCCAAATATACTGACATTGTTGGTTCCAGCTTGTATTTTCCCGTGTGGTGGGTTCCTGCACCCATGCAACTTCCGTGTCAAAACTCCCAATTTAGTTTCAGTCTGCCTAGGGAGATCAGGACCAGGGTGTAAGGAAGGAGCAGAACTCATTCATTGCAGCACACAGAGATTGCCCACTGCTGTTTGCACTTCACTCCCTGCTCTGAGCAGGTCTGGTGGGGGTTGTTGTAAGTGGAGCTAGTCCTAGATCATGGGTTAGAATTGCACAGAGGAACAGAAGCCAGTAATAAAAAGCCGGACAGAGTTGGGTGATGTTTGTATTTCAGTGTATACAAATGCTTTTGTATTTTTTTAACTTCTTATATTTTTTTTGCAATGGCATCTGTTGTGCTGTGACTGTAGTCTGCTGCAGGGATACCACAAGAATTGAGCTTCACTAGAATTACTGAGCAGCTTTCCTTTGAAACTTGCCAGCCCTCAGCTCTCATTAACGCTGAGCATTAGGGTTGTGTTTGACGCTGAGCATTAGGGTTCCTCATACTTTATTGCTTCCATCAAGGCCTCCTCTCCTCCTGAGCTGCTCCACCTTCACCTCCTGGCTCACAGACTGGCAAGTAAGAGGTGGGCAATGATATATCATTTTTGAGAATTAATTGTGTTTCACTTCTAAGAGAAAGAAATGCCATTTTGTAATAGTGCAGAATCCAGTTCTACAGTAGTAAGGAAGAGGATCCTCATTTACTTGAGTGCCTGTATTCTAGGAAGGAATTTTCTGCTTTTAATCCCAACTTTGATTTCTGTTGTAGCACTTTCAGGAGTTTGTTTTTGAGCAGGATAACAGGTGTCATCCGAGGCAACTTGCCCGCTCACCACAGGGGAGTGTGGGTCATCTGCACATAGCACGGTCCCTTTTGTTAGCCTCCTCTATGGATTTCACTGTACCTTTTCAACCTCTAAAACTGATTTTTCAAAGCTGTGGCACCTTAGTCATGACACTGAGCCCTCCAATCCCTCCATATAAAATGTGCTTTCTGCTCCTAACCGGCCGTACTGATACTTCTGCTCTCGGCATCAAGTAATTATTTTAAAAATGCACATCTTACAGGAAGGTTTGGCTATAGTGCCTTGGGCTGCCTGTTTCTTTGGGAAGTGTGGACTGTGTTAAGAACAAGCTGTAGGGTTTGTGAAACTTGCAGCATTAGGCGGGTCTCTTCTTCCAGAGAGGTGAGGAGGGCTCACAGTTCATGAGATCGGATCCAACCCACCTAAACCAGGAGCCTGGGCCTCCTGATGGGTTTCCAGTGGGAGGTTTGCTGCTGACACCGGTGGAAGTGGATTTGGGCCCCAATGTAGAAATGTCTGGAGGAAAGGGGGATCACAGGGCACCAGACATAAGGAATAACCAGCCCATTTGGAAGTGGAGGGTGCACAGTGAACCTCTTCTGACTATACTTTCCCATATACATTTACTGTCTGAACAACTGCTTTCATATTTCCCAGTCATGTTGTGATGGTATCTCACTGGTCACTGACATGTGTTACACATATTGCTAGAAGACCAGGCAGCTAAAAGACTAAAATGCACTGTGCTAACTGTAAAAATTGGCTTCTTACATTGTTTCTTTTTATATGGTTAAAGAGATGGTTGCGCTCCAGATTTTTTCATTTTTCTTGTCTTTTTTTAAAGAGATCAAATGTATATGAAGTGCATGTTATCCTGAACTTTTTGTTTGTACATGTTGATGTCTGATCACCTGCATGAAGGACACAGTAGTGCCATGTCTGAGCTTGTTCTCTTGTGCTTGGTTGATATGAACTTCTCTAGATTGTTGAGTTTTCCCCAAGATAACTTTGGTTAATATTTAGTTATTGGGAGACATCAAAACAAAACATCATGGTGGCCCTTTGTTTTCTTACAGTTTAAATACAAACAACAAAGCCTTGTGGTTTAATTTGTTAGTGTAAATAAATTTCTTGCCAATGAGTATTATTGTTGTTAGACAACGAATGCAATAAAATGAGAAATCCTGAATCTTTATTAGAATTTGTATCGAGTCCTCACTTTTCTGACCATTTGTTGGTCATTCCAGAAGAAATATTAAATGGTGAGCACAACTGGACAGCTGCATGGGCCAGACTGGGGGGTGGGGTTGGATATGGACCTTGCCCTGCTTGTTCTTTCCTTCCTTCTGCTCAGCCAAAGATTATTTTAATCCTAGCTCATGGCCAAATTGGCATGATTCACAGGGCTCCAAGTGGGTCTCATTTACAATCTGTAATTATGTAAAAAGAAGTGAAAAAAAAAAAAGAGTAAGGACAGAGAATTACTCTTTTTTTCATATGCTGATGAAATGTAGAGTGCAATCTTTTGCTGCAGGTTGATGTAAAAATAGGCTGCTTTCACACTGATACTGGTCAGTGTTTGTTTAAAAGACTTGAATTAGTTTTGGTATATAAAAAAAATTACCATTTTATATTTAAGTGTAGCTTAGTTACAACGGGCACTTTATACACTCAAAGTACACCAGTTCTTCTACTGAACATATTTAATATATCTTTATTTATTTGATTTTAGTAGAGGATTAAATAAAGGAAAAGCAGAGGGTGCAGACTGTCCAATTTGTGTAGTCATTTCAGCGGATTTACATCTGGCAGAATCTAGGCCAAATACTCTGCACCTAATCTGTTTAACCCAGTTCGTGTTTCCCAACAACTGAATCATAAACCTTACTTTCTGCTAATATGGCCACCACCTGCAAGAAGATAAAAAGAATCTTCAATCCATAAAATTATTATCTTAATTAAAGGAGATATACTAAGAGGCTCCAAGTCCACAATTGACATGTAAAATGTGTCTCCTCAACAGCTTCCTAAGCCATATATACATACATTTTTCTTGTCTGTGCAAGTTGTCCCAGCTGCAGTTTGGTTTCTGAAATACCCAGAACTGCTCCAGTCTCTACAGCTTGTTAAAAATGATGTGTTATGCCCTCCTCCAGGTTGCAAGCATGGATTTTCCCTATGCAGGTTACGTTGTGATTGAGAGGCCAGGCTTGAGCTGCATCTTCCACCACTGCTGTTTCTGCACTGAGGCCTCCAGTGCATTTATGAAGTGGTGATGTCATGCCAAGAGGTAGAAGCTGTACCCCAGCATGGCTCTTGCCGTCTCTGTCCTGCTCAGCATCACTTGAATGAACGGTGGCCCAGCTTCAATTCCCGCCTCTGCACTGCAAGGCTGGGATACCTGTAGAGAAGGCTGGCAATGGGCTTCCAATGATCCTCACCTCAGGTTAAAATTCAAAATGTTACATCAAGTACCTACAATCTCTCTTCTCTCAAATGTTGTGAGAAAAGATAGGGCACATCGCTTTCCTGTGGTTCAGTCTGCAGGCAGACGGATGGGAAAGCCTTCAGCACAGGAGTCATTTAGAACAGAAAAAAAAGCCAGTGATGAGTGAAGACAACCTTTATTTTCTGGAAGGCTAAAACCAACAAAAAAGTAAAAGTTTGACAAGATCCAACAATGTGTGGATTTGCTTATTTGAAGATGTTTTAAGCCACTGTAAAATTTGAAGTTAATGTTTTTATGGGTTACTTCTGCCACTGCTGAGGGAAATGGTTATTGCGTTTCTACAAACACAGAGTAAATCCAGGACCAGCAGAGTGGCTGATCAGCATTTCAGTGTGTTACTGCCACTAATGCGTGATATAACTCTTTAGGAGATGGCACTTTAGAACAAATACTGGCACAATCCCAAAATAACCACTTTAGAATGCTTGTGCAGACTGTTGATGGCTAATCATGAACAAGTTAATAGCCCAACTTCTCACTGCTGTGAGAACTTTCTTCAGAGCAGTCCTTTCAGCTTGGGCTCTGGGAATGATGTCTGTTCCTCAAGACTGTAAATGGATTACACGTTCCTGTAGGAAAGTACGCCACTTCCAAGGGAAGCTGAAAGTGTCCCGCAGGGAGAGAAGTTGCTAAGGAGTGAGCAGCAAAGCCAGGGTTAGGTAATGCCAAAGGCAAGTACAAGGAAGGGATGAGACAAAAGCCGCGCTCATTCAAGGCCAGCTCTGCTCTGTGGAAGGGCTGCACGCCATGGTCAGCGAGATTCAAAACTGTGATCCAAATGGTTGAGTCCTTGTCACCAAAGCCTTTGTGAGCAGACAGTGAAGCCTGGGCAGCCCTCAAGTCTGCAGATCAACTGTGAGCATTTTGGAGAGGAGCTGTGAACGCAGTTTGTGCACAGACCTGCTAATGCAGGGCTGCCACCAAGAGACAAGTCAGTTGGCCACGCGGTTAACTAATGCTCAAGTCTCCCCTTCTGGCCATCGGTAACCCCCGCAGCATGTGCCATTTGTACCAGTACATGCATGTGAAACAGCTTTCTGCCATGGCAGCAGGGGGAAGCTGCTGGCATCAGGAAGGGCGCAGTGACTGAGCCAAACATGCCCACTGGCTCAGTTCTTCAACCTCACAGAACTTCTTTGTGCCCAGGGACTTGCCTTACACCAAGCAGGGTCTGTTCCAGCGAGCTTGGGGCAGCACAGGGTGCAGCAGATGCTTTTTGGGGGCAGGAGATGGGTGATGTGGCAAGACCCACAGCTGTGCACAGGAAGGGGGATGACATCGTCCCTCCTGTACAGCAACACTGCCTCAGCCACGAGCCCTGGCACGGACTCCTTGCTCTGGTTAGAGCTGTCCCTTTCCGTCAGGGAAGGAGCAGCAGATCTTTTCCTACCAGTGGATGAAAGCCATTAGGCTTGTTAGAAAGGAAAAGCACAGGAGCCAAGAGGTGTCAGTACCCACATTTGTTCTTCAGGGCCACTGCTCACCCAAACCTCAGCCTGCAGTACTGCCTCCTCTCAGCCAGAATGGGAAAATCCAGACAGAGGAGGGTTTGCACATACTCTGCCTCCTGCCTCAGTGTTTGAGCCACTACAGAGTGGGTTATTTTCTCTGTGTTGTAGGCACAAGTACTCCTGTGTTTTCAAAGTACTTGGACTTTGAAATGGACTTTCCATGTACTCTCCAGACTAGAGGGGCTGTGGCTGGTGGTGGAGCAGACTGCAGGAGGGAACAGCAAAGCTAGCATAGCAATTGGCACCCCAGGGACTGGCTCTCTCTCCTCCCAGGCTCGCCCTTCAGGAGCAGCCTGTCTTTTTTCTCCATAGAATGGGGGAAGGACTGCAGTGAGGAAAAACTACTGCATCAGCTGGAGGATACAGAGGGGCTGGCAGCCCTAGGGAGGTCTGTCTGGTGGCAGCATTTGGAGGGGCTGCCAAGATGCTGAGAAGGGCCAGTGCAGGCATGTGTAGGAAGCACAGCAGCAACCCCTGCAGGAGAGCCACCACAGGTAACACAGAACCTTTAGCTGGATGTCAGCATCTCTCACAAAACTGGAGGGCTGATCACAGCTGGGAACTTGGAAGGACAAAAAGAGCAGCAGGAGCTGCTCTGTGGGTAAGGATATCTACACTAATGCAAGAAGAGCTCACTCCATGAGCAGGAAACCAAGTGGTGGCCAAAACAGGGGTTTCTGGCATCTTGCTGTGCACACTGGAGAGCACCAAAGTGATTTCCAGCTTCAAAGGACATTCTGTTCAGTTCACTGAAAGTGACTACTAACACTATTGCAAAACCACCAGCTGATGGAAACCTGGATAGGCTGTTTAGCAGTGTGAGACACTATCAGTAACTGATGCTAGATAAACGGGAAGGGGTGCCTGCTGCACAGTAGCACAGTGGGAATCAGCTCCAGACTGACTGAAGATAAACACACAACATGTGTGACCAAGGCTTGGGGGTAGTCGCTGTGGCAAAGTGTCCAGAAATGCTCCCTTTTCTGTGACAGACAACAGTAATTGCTAATGCACTTCTCAATGAAGGTGCTCAAGACGTTTCCCACTCTTTAAGAGTAAAAAAAGCTTTTTCAAACTCCCTTTAGAAGACTAAGTAAGAAACCACTCTGAAGTGATACCCTACTCTTTTCTCAATAGAATTAAGAAAAATTTAGGAACCTGAAGTAATGTTAGAAAATGGCTTGAAGAGGGAAGAGGACGTGGATAAAACTGAACATTTATTCACCTTCCAGTTATTCTGGAAGCATTAGGGAAAGCCAATAGGCAGATTCAGAAGAATCTCACACAGTCCCTGGGAAGGCCCAGGGGTCAGTCACAAACACACACCACACTAGTAGTCAGCAATTCTTATTTACAACATCAGTTTTCTCATGGGGGGGGGGGGGGGGGGGGGGGGGGGAAATCCAGCCAGCAGAGATGAGTTCAATGTCTGACACTTTAGTCATTTGCAATCTGAAACTGAACTTCAAGGTAACCCTTTGTTACTGATATGGGGTCCTCCCCATTACACAAATAACCTAATTTCTCACCTTCAATTACATTTCCTTCTCATTTTGGAGAGGAAGGCTAAAATACATCTCTATTATTGCAGTTAACCTTTATTGGAACAGTCTTGTTGTTAGCAAATCTAGCAGAAACTGAGTTCCCAAGGAATTAAATCCTTTCCGCTGCAGCAGATCTTACCCATGACGAGCTATAGCTCACAGTAGAGAGCTCTGTGGTAGACTGTGCCAATGAGCAGTTTTCCCTCGTAGATGGCTGCCACTGAGCTCCCCTGCAGCACAGAGCCGTTGTCAGCGTAGACACGTGTCACCACAGGCTCCTCTGAGAGGATGTTCTGGATGCGCAGAACCTGCCAGAGGGGGAGGATACATCTACTGAAATGGCCGCAGGTGGAAATGGTCCATGTATGGAGGGAACATCAGCATGTTAACTTAAACAAACTAGTTAGGGTGATCAGCTGCTGATAATTACAACCATGTGATTCCTGTGATAGGGCCTTCAGGGAAGCACAGTCCATGAAGACTGAGTTTGGGGGGTTTTTTAAGTGGTTGTGCGACAGAGACCCCATGTCTGTAAGGAAGGCAGTCATCCCCACTCCAAGGAATGTGCACAGTTTTTTCCTGCTGAAGAGTTAGTTAATATCTTCTTATTTTCATGCTTTTTCCAGACAAAATAAACAAATGCCTGGTACCATAAGTCTACTGCTATTGAACATGGTAATTTTGAGAAGTGTCTTACAGGGCGCTTCAGACAAGGCTGAAATCAAATGGACACCTACCAGCCAGCTGCACTTGTGGCCACTATTACCCTGAGGCCAGTACCTCATTGATTTCAGAAGGAAAGAAGAATTACAGTGTCACCTACTGATGAATCACACTTGCCTTGATTAATCATTACTGTGCAAACGTTTCTGGTCACGCTTTGCACTCATCAATCATGTTTAATTTGGCAAAGATGTGCTGGCTCGGTAATCAATGCAGTTCATCAGAATCTGGGTGTGGCCACAGCTGCACAGAAAGCAGCCTGAGAAGTCCAAAGTGACTGAGCTACTGGGTAGAAAGTATTCAGTTGTCACCCGAGGATCTGAACAGGTGTTTGTTAGTGAGTATATGCTGTTTGGGCTTCCACTTGAAAGCAGAAGCCAGCTTGGTCTTTGCTTTCACAAAGGCTGGCCAGGCCCTTCTCTATGTAATGCAGTTACGTTATACCAGGGTGATTTGAGCAAAACAACTTTTGGGCACAGATACAGCCAAGAGACCAGTGATGTCTCTCAAGAGGCACCTCAGAGGCAGGAGGATTTTCAGGATCATAGTAGAACAGCTTCATCCCATTGGGATGACATCCCGTCCAGATGTCTCCAGTGTGAGGTTCAATAGACAAGTTATCGACCAGAGTGTCCAGCTGTAGTGTCTATCCAACACAAAGCAAAAACAAGAAGTTAAAGCTATCAGAAGTCCTGGAAGTAAACTACAACATAATGAACAGACTTGTCCAAGACTCTCATCTGACATCTTAGATTTATTTTTTTTAAGAAATATTTTCTCCCCCAGTATTGTTTTTCTTTTCCCCTGGTATGCATCACCCCCACCTCTACACCATGAGAAACCTGCTTGCTGCTCTGAGCTTCCCCTATCAGCTCATTCACACCTACGTGTTTGTTGATTCCTTCAGTTCTTTGTGCTCTGACCCACACTGCCTGAGGCAGACTTCCACTGTGGGTCAACAGCACGCCCAAGGATTCCTCTCTGGTTGCTGGAGGGAGGGTGGAAGACCTGAAGCTCTGTAATAGGGCACACAGCACCTCTGCAACCCCACAGCAGGAGCCACCCAGACCAGAACTTTACACACAATCATGTTGACATCTCAAGCATTCATGGGGACTATTCTGTCCAAAATTCACATTTGTCTCTTTTTTATAGAACAGCAGCACCTTACCTTCACGTGAGTTAAATTCCAGTTAGTGTGTTTTTCCATAACATGAACACTATGATCAAATACATCTGCAACATAGATGTACCTTCAAAAGAAAGCAAAGCACCTCTTAGCAATGTATATGAGTAAGAAGACACGACAGTTCCTTCCGTGCAAGCCCAGCTCTTCCCATGAGGAATGCCAGCCCACAGTTCTCACACAGCAACAGACATTGCAAGCAGGCCACAGGGCACTGAAATGAAGCCAACCTGCTGAGATCCTAATGTATCTTCACACTGTGACAGTTCTATTGCAACACCAAAACAGACCTTGGAATTAGAAATCCCCAGTTATGCCTTTTTTTTTTTTTTAATTTAAGATCACCTGTCCCCACCACAGGACCGGTTGACTCGGTCACACAGACTTTAGGACGGTAGAACGTTCCCCGCTTGCAGAAACTCTGCCCTGTTAATCCCTGCAAGCAATACAGAAAAACTCCTGTATCGGCTGCTTTAAATGCAGCAACCTTTGATCTTACTGCCCATAAACTACGATGCAAAGGAGCAAACATCAAAGGAGCTGCTGAACACCAACACACGCAACCCCGTGCTGCAATCGCTCTGTACTACTTACACTGCACAGGCAGCACCTTGCCCTATATGAACCAGCTTAGACACCTGACCATGGAGGTACCATATGTACAAATCAGGATCTCTGGATTCTTCTGTGTGATCAAACAAAATCTAAGGTAAGGAGAAACTTACTTTCTATCAGGTGAAATGTTAATTCCATTGGCTGAACAAAAGCCAGTTGCCACTTCCTTAACTTCTTTTGGACTGTAGTAAACAACATTTGACCAAGTTAAACCCAAGAACACCTCTAAGAACATCAAGATGAAGTCGGTGAAGTAGTGGTCATTGGTAGCATAGAAACTATCTGGCCCCATGGCTACTATATCATTCACACTAAAAAAAAAAAAACAAAAACAAAAATAAAAAGAAATGGAGAAAGTTAAATAAAATAATGAAATGAGACGTATGAAGAAACATTTTAGGACTGCCCAGAATCCAGGCAGGACATGGTCATCCCACAGACATAAGGGTGCTGCAATTAGAGATGGTACTGCAGACAGACACTGAGCTATTTAGATCCTTTTTACTCCTTTTTTTTTTTTTTTTTTTTTTTGCGTGAGCCAGAACTGTGCAGTGCTGAGACCTGAACAGGACTATACGGCATCAACTAGAAATCTAGCTGCCTGTCCATAAGCCCTTGGAAATTCTTCTCTCTTTTCATTACGCTCAAGTGAAAAACTGAGAACAGGCAGATGCTGTGACAACTTTATCAATCTGGTCCTGTTTATCTTACAATGATTTTGCAGTAGGACAGACCAAGAAAATTTTGTATTGAAAAAAAAAGAAAAAAAGACAAAGCTAAATCTATGTTTATTTTTACAGTGTAGCATAGCAAATTCAGAATAATAAAACATCTGGAGATTCATATCTGCAATGACCTAAGAGTGGGCTACATGAAAGAAGGAGAAATGGATGCTAAGCTAATTCACTGCCATCAATCACAGCAGTGCTTAAGACTAGTTGAGTGGGACAACTATTAAAAATCTAATTTACAGAAGAGATTGGAGAAACATTGCTTTTGATTACATAGATAAGAAGTAATCAATAAGAGAAACAGGGATGCTGGTTAAAGGGGAAATATCACATATTAATAATACCTTAAAACCAAAAATCATCCTACATTGGATTTCATTCAAAGCAGCCTGTTCTGGAGGAAGATGGTACGTGGGTCCCATACCTTGCCAGAAGATCATGTTGAATGGTTTTCAGGTGTAAAAGAGAATTGTCATCTTCTACAAATTTAAACAATTCTACTGTGCTCTTCTGATGGGGATGGTTCACAACAAAGAGGTACACGGTGTCATCTTAAAAAAAGAAATGGAAACAGCTGAATTCTCTGCAGCAGCTTTCATGGCTGAGCACCCCCAGTGCTGATGCAGCCTCTAGTACAGAGCACGTGCCAAGTTTGGTGCATTTGTGTCAGGGCTCTTCAGAGGCAGAGGGACAAGTATCCATGTACTGCGGGATGCATCTGCAACAAGGTCCAGATCTCCAGCTACATTTCTCCCAGCCTCACTCAGGGACCTGCTGGGTAAACTACATGTTTGCTATTTCTATCAAGGAAGAAAGAAATCACAACCTCATCCTTGTGCCTAAGCCAATGGGTTTTGCAATCTGTGAAACAGCCACAGTCAACTGGAAGAAGAATCTCAAAGAGCCAGTTTGGGCTCTTTGGTTTGTTTATTACATCCTCTGAGAAAGCAGAAGGAGCTCCTGTATCCTGTGTAAGGCTGCAGCCCTTCTGCCCAGCCCTTCTGGTAAGACCTTGAATTAGCCACCACTGATTTCTCCAACACCTTCCCTTAAAGGGTGACTTGTATGGAGACACAGGTCAAGCTGCAGCAATGGTTCTCTTAATATCTGCAGACTTCTAATTGCCCTTCTAAAATCCCCAGTGAAAGGACAGGCAAAAAGATACTTTATTGGTAGTCAGAACCTGACACAGGAGAACATATCTTGGAGAGGAGAACCTGGCTTGGCCGAAGAGTAACAGAGGTTTTGGTAATTTACAGAGACTTGATAATTTATTGTTTTGCCACAAAATTTTCCACTCTGGGCATTACCAGTTGGTGAAGGATGTATCTCCTCAAAATACCTGAACCCAGTGTGAGACAAGTGTAAACTGGCAAAATAAATTTTCTGTGGTTTTCAACTCAAACTTTTTCATGTTTCCTTTCCTTTTAATATACAGGACATCTTTCTGTTTTAAACAGACTGAGATTATGTGCAAGGTTGTTTCCTTTGATAGATGACATTTAGAAAATAGCCCAACAAAGACAAAAACCCCCCAAACCCTTTTGTCTCCTTGCAAGAGCAAGCTATTGTGTGTGCTGCAAAGGGATTTCTGTTTGTGCTCTTTAGGACAATATTTGCCACCACCTCAAGCTGTTTACCTCTGTCTACATAGGTGCTGATTCCATGAGGGTTAAATGATGACAGATCAAACCCTCGGCTGATTCTCAGTTCCACTGCCCTGGGATAGTCTTCATTCAAATCCATCAAAAATATTTCACCTGGCTTGTCTGGAGCAAAGCTCTTTAATCCTGGATATTTCAAGCCCTATAGAATCAAAACATAAGAAAATTATTCCTGGATAAAAAGTAAACAGGAGCATCACAGAGCTGAAAATGCTGGAGTCTTGCTCTGACTTGCAAGAATACATCAGGATGTCCCCTTGCTTCAGCCTGCTGAGCCACAATGGAGGTGGAGGGAATGGCCCTGCTCGCTCTATCCAGCCCTCAGTCACAGTGCAAAGGGAGCAAACTGTATGGAGGGTGCAAGGAGCCACGCCCAAGGCACCACAGCCCCCACTGCAGCCACAGTCTGTGTGCCAAACCCCTTTACAAACTGACACTGGGGGGGAACCAGGCACCACTACAACATGGTAAAGCCATGAGGAACAGCAGCAGCGCAACAGATCATGATTTCTTGTATGCATTTTGCAACATTATCATTCCCTGGGTGTCCCTGGAACACGCAGATGAAAACATCAGCTTTTGTTTTAGAAAATGATCACCTGCCATCCTGATTGCAAAAGAAAGCTGGAAAACCTATGTCCTAAAGGTTAAAAAAAGTCAGGAACAACATAATCAACAAACAAAATCTGATTTTTTTTTTTAATTTTGAAATTCAGACATCTTAACATGGCAGAGGACTGACATTTCAACATTTCAATGAAGTAGCTTGAAAGAAAGTCAAGGTTACGTGGGCAGATAAGTCAGTGCAATATACATGCTTCAGAGCCACCAACACCACCTCTGCGTCAAGAAGTGCACTTGCTCAAGCAGAAGGGAATGACAGCTAAGCCAACACAAGACTGGGCTGTTCTTAGGAAGCCAGCCAGCCTTGTAGAAAAAAATTCTCCCTCCTGATATTTTCACCTATGGCTTCTGCAGGTAAGGAAGAAGCAGGACCCTGCATGGGAAGGTGCCATGGGCACTTACAGAGCTGATGAAAGCTAGTCCATTGGGAAGTATGTCGATGTCTTCGGAACCAGCTTCTGAAAACAAAGATAAACAGGGTTTTTCAGGTGACGTTAGATATTTCCCATAGAAAAAAAAATCCTCTTTAGTACAATTCCAGCGCTCATGAATGCCCCTTTCTGGTATGACTGAGCACGCGATGAAGTTCAGAGGAAAAGATCATTCTGCGTTAAAAGTGGTAGCAGAAGACAGCATGTCAGGTTAGGAAATAGTACTGCAGCTCACTTCGTTTTGGGGGCTTAGGAGTGCCCCTGCAGTGGCCAGGCAGCCTCTCACCCAGCTCCATGTGCCCCCGGACAGTGTGGGATGAATCACCAGGTTCTGAAGACAATGTTTTGCAGCAATTAGTGTGGGCAACGAGATTTCCAGGTCAGGACCATCCCCATGACTCGGGCCTCAGGCTTGCATAAGGCAGCTCTGAGAATTGTGCACGCTAATTCTCCTGGTTGAGCTAGGACACTTCACGAAGATGGATTGCTAAATATTTAGTTAAAGCTCTCAAATTTCAGAGAACCTACTAAATCCATAACAGCTAAGGGCTTTAATAGTTAGATCACACTTTTCACTGCAGGTAATCATTTCCAGTATTACCAATTCCTGTATATCCTGTAATATTTTTCCCTGGTAGGAAAGAAGATAAAACAAAAGCCCTTTAGTGGAGAGGAACCAGAACCCCCAGTTCATCCATCCAGGAAAGTTTCTCCCCAGCTCAGACCTGGGAAGATGCAGTGGCACAACTTCTCACTGAGGGCCAGGGTCAGCACCTTCTCAGCCTCAGGAAACCCCTGCTCCACTCCATGACTCCAACAAGCAGAGCATCCCTGCCTTCTGAAGAGCAAAAGGTCTGAAGATTCATTTTGGGGAGAGACAGCCTGTTATCCCACCCCTGGGTTTTTGTCTGAGTTTTCACTGGGCTCAGGCAGGAAGCAAACATCTGCACTGATGTGTCCAGAGACACAGTGTCCTCTGCCAGGGGAAGTTTAGGTTAGATATTAGGAAGAAATTCTTTACAGACAGGGTGATGGGCGGCCCAGGGAAGTGGAGGATTCTCCGTCCCTGGGGGTTTTTAAGAAGAGACTGGATGTGGCACTTAGTGCCATGGTCTAGTAACCATGACGGTAGTGGATCAAGGGTTGGACTTGATGATCTTGGAGGTCTTTTCCAACCCGTCTGATTTTATGATTCTATGATTTAGAGCCTGTATTTTCCAATTAAAGTTTTGAATTGGGGCTTTTTTTTAATCTCAGCTTACACTCTCATTTAAACCAGCAACTCCTTTTCTTTGCCTTAGTCTTTCCACGTGTGGGTTAATTTATAAAATGGGGTTAGTGGCGATTCTCCACTTCCCGGGATTGCTGGGAGGATAAAAGCACAAATAAATGCTGAGAGGCTCAATTGCCATGGTGACATGAGCTAGACAGACTGCTTTTGCTGGCAGCACACACTGGTGAGTGAATAAACAGAGATATAATCATTTATTGCTACTGAATCAGTGAGGCTGCCAAGCAGAAAGATGAGCAGGCTAATTGGGAGCAGATAATTAAAAACTACAAGTTTCCGGTGGAAGGAGAGCGCTCAGAGCCCCACACCCAATTGCTTGGGAAGAAAGTGCCCAGCAAAGCACTTTTCAGGCACTTCATGGCCAGGTCGTGGTATGTGTGGAAGCGACTGAGTGCCATCAGAAGAGCAGTGAAATGCTGATTCAGCACAACCCTGCTGAGCCAGCACCAGGGAGACAGTGAGGAGGAGATGGGGACACAGCCAGCCGCAGGGAAGCTCACGGGCTCTCCTCTGGGCCCCATTTTGGGAGGGCTGTTGCAGGTGTTATATGGCATGAGAGAGATAGGAACTGCTTTATTAGGTATCAGTTACCTGCAGGATATTGCTTATTTGTATCACTGAGCCCAGCTTGTCCATTCGATTATCTAAACAGGCAGCATTTAAAAACATTAACAAATATTGAGAACAATTACTACCTACTCTAGAAGTGTTGTTCTTTATTTTATCTTAGATTGATGTATTCTGCAGGTGTATCTAACAATAAAAACCCCATCTGGATTTCATGTCCAAAAGCACGAGACTATTTTGCCTATATCCCAGGAATTGTTCCAGGATGAAAGTATTTCTGGCAACTTCTTCTGTAGCTTCTTGAACTTTAGGAATTAGAACAGGAGATATGGTTACTTTATTATAAACCAGTAACATGATTAGGCACCAATAAAAATCAGAAGCTACTGTTTATTTTAGAAATATAGCCTTTCCTACGTATTGGTGAATGAAGTTTTTTTGCAATTTTTTATTGGTTTGTTCAATGTTTGCATTTGTGCTTGCATAGCACAGTATCTGAAAAGCAGAATAGATCAAAGTCTTAAAAACAGAGATACAGAAAAGATGAAATTGCAGAAAGAAAAGGGGATAGTTTAAGATGATTTTGCTCACAGCTGATCCAGCCTTGGGACCTATGTCTCACTTAGGAGTTCAGAAGGACTGTTTTAAACATTAAAATAAAGACATAATGTTTATTCAACTTTATCATAGCACTTTAATGGAAAAAGGCCCAGGAGGCCAAGAGGTCCATGGAGAAAGGCATTCTTACACAAAGGCACCCACAGGAGCAATCTTACAGATCTGAGTACAGCAAACCCTCTGGTCTGAATAGTGCTACCTATGCAGCAACTAGGCTTTAGGGATCCTTGATCTCCCTGAATAATATAACCTCCCTAGTCATAGCAAACGAATTTTGGAAGATATTTGAGTGAACATGCCAACTTTTAAGTTTGCACAAATCCTTTGTTATTTCTCTTTCTGCCACATTGGACATGCTGAATTAATTTTTGGCATATTAATTTTTCTAAAGAGCTGTAAACAACAGAGCAAAGGCAAGACAAGGCGCAGAGCTCAGTGTGCAGGGACAGTGTTAGAGGAGCACAGCAAGAAGCAGAAATGAAGCTCTGTAAATTGATCCACTGCAACCTCCAAGCAGAGATGGGTTCTCAGAATTCACCTAATCTCCACGTAAATGTCAGGCACTGAAAACGAAATGCTGTTAGGAAATGAAATACAACTTTATTTTTCATTTCCAGCTTTATCCATTCCTCAACACAATAATCATGTTGCAAAAAAGTCTTAAAAAGATTGCAACAGTGAAATGCTTAAAAGAATTATATTAATCACCATCAAAAAAGCATTATTCAGAATCTTGTATGAGTAAATTACAGCTCAGTCTAGAAGACCTGGAATTTTTTTCAAATGCAATTCTGTACATAACCTCAGGCAAATGAACTCAGCACATACTCATTCGTGGCAGTAATTTGACTTTACAAAGATGCTTGAATCCTGACACAAGGAAGAAGCGAGATTTATGAAATCAACTCAGTGACTCAGCAAGCTCAAAGGCAAGGCTGTTAAAGCTCATCCAATGACGTTTTTACATATGCAAAATCCAGGCAAATTTCAAAAGAATTTAAGACATTTCTGAAAATACTAAGGAGGGGAGCCATTAAGCTTAAAATTATTATCTGGGGAAAGGGAGACACAAAAAAGCAATCAATTTCAAAGCTATCCATTTTATACACTGGTTATCCTAATCAGAGAGAAAAAAAAAAACAAGACAGAAACACTGGTGTGTGCTAAACACATGATCCAAAGTACAAAGTCAACATTTTGGCCACTTTGTTAGCAAACATAACCCCTTGCTCTTTGAAACCACACAGCTGCATTGCACAACCGCGCTGGGCTCCTGCCTGCCATTGGCACCACGCGGTACGAGCCAGCTCCTAAATCTCCACAAAATGCGGCACTAAGGCGGGCAATCCTGGCTGGCATTTAGCAGCCGCTCCTTCACCACATGCCTGTGGTCTTCTCCAAAAGCTTGCACCCTTGCAGCATGTTCTGTCTTCAAGATGTCACTACCGTCTGACAGACACCTGTAGGTACCTGCCTGAAGAGCCAACATGCCCTCATCTAAAAGCCAGATCATTTCCTAAGTGGCTCAGCAATGGAGAAGTGTTTGCAAGGTACTCAATTTCAAGAAAAGGAACAGAAACTTTAAATACCAAAGGCAAAAAGCATTATATCAAACTAGTTTTTCAGCACAATTTTCTTCCTGCAGTTTCTCCCTACCTCCAAGTCCGAGTAACAAATGAAAGTCAAATGAGCACTTTGTTTTTTGGGATCAGGCTTGGAAGCTGACTTTAAGAAGCAGTTACAAAATAAGGCTGGACAAAAGCAAGGCACTCGGTTATTTTAAGCACATACCGATTCCTTTAATGAGCCGGCAGTTCGGGAGTGTTACTGGGGCTACTTCCCGTGAAGCATTGAGTCTGTTCCTGCAAGAGAAAAGAGCGGGGTTAACAGCACACAGCCAGTTTTAAAACAGGTAACACTCCTAGTTTTTAGTTTTATTGTCTGCTCCATTGCAGCAACAAATCAGCCATAAGATACTGAATAGACAAACCCCAGAACTGCAGCAGCAAATGCTCCAAATCACTGTGGTAGTTACATATGTCCAGGGATTAAGTGGTTGTTCCACACTGAGTAACTTCGGAAACCTGATTTTGTTCATGAGTGTCAGGAACAAGCTTTCATGGCCCACCCCAGCTCAGACAATAAAATAAGACAGCCAAATTTTCTTCAGGTTTCAGTCACTTAACTATAGTAGTATCCCACAGTTAGGACCAGCATTTCAGATGAGGAGAGGACGACCTTCTACTCCAACCCAATGGCTGTATTTGCTGATCATGCCATCAGCAGTTGCACCTTCCTCATTTCTTACTCCACATTCAAAGGTAGTGATAGCACTGTTGCAAGGCAGGAGTACTCATTTCCTTACAACAAGCAGGACTTGGTAGTACAATTTTCAGCAATTACCCTGTCCCTTCTGCTTCTCTCCTGATACCACTCCAAGCATCACTCTTCAGCAGTGCTTATTTCATTCTCAAGTACCCAAAAAACTCAGTCTCTGGCTCATGCTTCACTGAACAAGCAGATACAGACAGGTATCTGTCTGTAGACAGATACGAGTTCCTATTTCTCAATTTCCTCCATTCCAAGTTGTTTGCAAATCCTTATGAAAGACACCTCACTACCAGGATTGCTGTGTTTGACCATGCTGGTCCACAGTGCTCTAAGGAAATATATTGTATTTCTACATGAAAATGTCAGGGTAGCGTACTAGAATATTTCTTTCTTTTTTTTTTTTTTTTGCCCCCAGAAGAAAGCATTTAACCTAACATAGTTACTCCTTTGCATGTCTATCCTATGCATGTGTTGAGGCTATTGCTCCAACCACAGGAAATTCTGAATGCAAAGATCCCATAGCAAAACCTTGCCATGTTTATGTCATAGTTTTAGGCATAAACATAAACTAAACAGCAGTATCAGTCAGTGATATGAAAAGTATGTGCTACAGCTGAGCGTCGTATGGTATGTCAGTCCTGCCTGTTTTTAATCACTTAAAATATGAATTGCAAATTGCTTCAATGCTGTATCATCGACATAGGTTGTTAACATAAGGCCAAAAGAAAAGATGGAAAAGGGTAAAAAGTGCAGAGGACAGCAAGGGAAAAGAACCAAGTTAAACTCTCCCAAGCCCTCTCTCTCCAGCCCAGGAGTACTGACAGAGAATTACACTGGCTCCCAGCTGACAAACAGCACAGGAGGAATATCAGCTCCCCCATTGCCCACTGGCAACTTGGCACAGCCAAATCCACCAAGCACCCAAGGGTGGCTCAAGGCAATCCTGCCTGAAGTTTGCACTGCTGCCTGCTTAGGGCTTTTCCCTGTTTTCATCAGCTTTTCCCAGGCAGGCTGCAAGCCACCCCGAGCCAAAAGCACAGCAGGAACTCAGCTAGCAGCCAGAGAGGGATGATGATATCCTGACAGCATTCCCAGGGAAACACTTCATGGGCTGGAATGAGAGTAATTCAAAAGGACGCTAGTCACAAGGCTGCAGCACATATAGAGGCTTTTCCAAAATGTGTCAGTTTATCTACCTCACACAGCCTGAGCCACTCAGCCAGATGGCCTAGATAACTAACTGGCCGTACCAAGAACACAGGAGGCCTGCAATATATGGAGGATGCGACTTCAAAAAAAAGAAGGAACTTTTGCTACTTGGTGCAACCCCAATGCACGGCACCTTGTCCCACTGTTTCTCTTTCCAGTTTCAGTCCCACGCCCACTGTCCCACTTCATGGGACACAGAGGATAGGCCTTTCCTTCAGCAGGAACCCGTTGCATATTCAAAGACCTCTCTTTCAGTTTTCCTCATCTCTAGACTTACCAACCCTGGATTTTTGGGTTTTGGTTTTGAGGGGTTTTTTTGACAGGATTGAAAATCACTTCTTATTTTGGTTTTGTTCCCAATTCTTTTAAAACTGTCAGCATCTTTCTGGAAGTAGGCTGCTGTTTTGAACATAGTATGCAAGTTCAGTGCCCTATGGGTACAGTGTTACAAAATGATAACATTGTATGTGAATATATAAATACATATGAACAATATCGTATGCACATTGTTCTGAGGAAAACAGTAACACACATTTTATAATTATATAATTCACATTCACATTTTACAAATTAGCTCAGCGCTTTCTTCAGAGAACGAGCAGTTTAAAATGTCGATAGGGGAATTGGTGTCATTTCAGCTGGTAACACAGAACTTCACCTGTTTTCTGCTGTACGTGCCACAAAATACCAAACTCAGAAGGAACAGCAAAGACTCTTTGCTGGATTTCTGCCTTCTAGGTGGGGAATGGATAACAGAGACACACAGCAAGAGCTAATTACCCACAGTTTCTCTTAATTGTGTTAAATGACTTTTAGAGTACTTTGTGAACTGAAGTTGTGTGTTTCCAAACTCAGCAACCATCCTAAGACCTCTGCTACGCTGGAGTTTGCTGAAAACACAGCACGCAGGAAAAACCCACAGAGAGCTACAGAGACAGGGGGGATCCTGTTTTTATCAGGAGATTATTCTTTACCAGATTTCCAATATTGCATTTGTTCATTCAGTTTGGAGGAGATGTGGGGACCGTTGCTCTCTACAGCCCTTTGAAATGTCTCACCCCAGTAAAGCCAGGGAATGTTTTCCAGCTCTGCCATCCCAGCTTGTGTGACTCCAGGGCAGGAGGGTTCTTCTACCGCTGTGGTTATCACTAATGCCTGAGGTGGATTTAGCGCGAGATGAAAACACATCTATGTGAGGTACCTGGGTCCAGGCAGTATAGCCCCCCTTCTGTAATTACCTACAATTACCCAAAATTCAATTAGCTGGGTGTTGTTGCTTTGAAATTGAGCATTTGGAGTCCTTGTGGACATGAGCAAAATTATAATGATGTAGTTGCCTTTTAACACAGTAATTCACCACCACTTTTCTGACCTGAAATGACCAGTTATGTGTTTGGTAGCTTTCAGGACAGAAACTGCTGTAACACCATGGCATGAGGATCATGATATGGCTGGGTATTTCAGCTACAGCGAGGTCACATCTTAGGATCACCAAAGCCTGTGCTCCGTCAGAGGAAACCTCATGTACACAGGGGCTATTTGTTATCCAGAGGTCAGCTTTGGCAGAAAGTAACACACGTTTCTGACAAACTGATTTCCACTTACTGTTTGGCCAGTTGGTGGGAGATGAGGTAAATTCGCAGATATTGGGTTTTGATATACCCCGGTTAACTGCAGCCTCTGTAAAAACAGAGGTACTGGCCCCCTGCCCCAGGGCACCCTCTCCCTTTGGCCTCCTGGCTCCCAGCATCTTCCCAGGGAGAGTTTCACATCCTCCCACTGCAAAGGGCATTTCCATTGCACAAATGCTCCCGAAGTTAGTTTTTGAAGAAAGAGGATGAAAAAGGCATCGCAGTGCTTAGTTTTTCTCTGGGGAAAAACGGTTCCCTTGATAATGATGATGGTAGCGATGGTGATGACAATGAAGAACCCTTCCCCTCTGGCTGCCACTGCACTTGTGCAAGTGCGGGTGTCCGCCGAAGTCGAGCCCCAGCCCGGGAGCTGCGGTGCCCGCCAGCTCGAAGGGCGGAGGGGAGCCCTCGCCGCCCTGTGCCCGCCTCAGCCCCGCGGCAGGATCCGGCTGCCGCCCCCCACCCGCGGGCCACCCCCGTCCCGCACCGCCGGCACCGCGACCCGCCGCTCCGAAACCCCGCAGGGCGGCTCCTACCGAAAGGCCAGCAGCCGCTCCGCCACCAGGGCTGCCGCTATCCCGACAAGAGCCACCACCAGCAGCTTCCCCATGGCCGATCCCCGCTCCCGACTCTGCCCCGTCCCGACCCGTCCCGCCCCGCCTGCCCGGGCCGCCCCCGGGGCCCGGCGCCGCGCTCCCGCCGGCAGCGCCCTCCCATCCCATTGCCTCCTCGCCCCGCCCGGCCGTGCCCCGCTCCCGCGGCACCCTCCGCCCGCCTCAGGGACGCGGGAGCCGGACAGTGGCCCTCTGGAGGCTGCATGCTACAGGTCCCATGGGAAAGGCAGGTGGACCAAGTTCCAGCTCTGCTATTAAAAAAAAAAAAAAAAAAAAAAAAAAAAAAAAAAAAGAAAAGTGTTGTACGAAAATAAGTGTGTCTGACCAAGACTATGTGATGCAGAATGTGCAAGTACTCCGTGTACACCTCTAGGCTGAGATGTACATGCTAATACATGTGCACTAACAGCAAAGTTTCCCCCAGAATAATTCCTCCACTGCCATGCTCCCACCAATAGCTTTCTCCCGTGTGCAGGACAAGGGCTACAGAATCCACCTTGGGGCTCCAGGGTTCCTCCATGCAGCAATCTGCTTTTGCATCATCTGCAGCACTGGCCTCCTTGGCCTTTTGCTTTTTTGGGGAACACACGGTAGCGGGTTAATGCCCTCCCTTAGCAGTTATCTTTCCCTCCCCTGCACAGTGAATGCCCTCACCTGCAAGGTTCACATTCCTTTGCGCTTCCCCGAAAGTCTGAGCAATCACTAAAAAGGCCTTCTCTGCTCTTCTTACCCTTGCCCTTGAGGCCAAGCAGATGCTCCACATTTAACAACACTTAAAGTAAAGCGTGCTGGAGAAGAGGAGGCACCCTGAAATATCTTTTCCTCTCCATTTTACCATAGCCCTTTTCCTTTTTTGGGTCCTTGATTACTTTGGAATTATAGGTAGATGAGATTTTTTTTGGAGGAATGCATGGGGTTGCTGTGACCAAAGTGCAGGCCCCAGCACTTGGCCCATGTTGAACATCATACCACTGGCTTCAGGCCATCAGTCCAGCCTGTCCAGATCCCTCCACAGAGCCTTTCTACCCTCCAACAGATCAACACTTCTGCCCAACTTGGTGTCATCTGCAAACTGACTGAGAGTGTACTCAATCCCCTCTTCCAGATCATTGATAAAGGTATTAAACAGTACTGGCCCCAATACTGAGCCCTGGGGAACACCACTAGTGAATGGTCACCACCTGGATCTATACCACCGCTCTCTGGGACTGGCCATCCAGTCAGTTTTTTACCCAGCAAACAGTGCACCCATCCAAGCCATGAGCACTTCCTCCAGGAGAATTCTGTGGGAAATTATGTCAATAGCCTTAGGTAGACACATCCACAGTCTTTCCCTCGTCCACTAGGTGGGTCACCCTGTAATAGGAGGAGGCCAGGTTGGTCAAGCAGGACCTGCCTTTCACAAACCTATGCTGGCTGTGCCTGATCCCCTGATTGTCCAGCACATGCTGCATGACAGCACTCAAGATGATCTGCTCCATGACCTTCCCTGCCACTGAGGTCAGGTTGACAGGACTGTTTATAGTCATGCATTGCAGCACTCCAGTTGTGTGAGTCTTTCCACCCTATTTCCATGACAACAACTATCCCACAGATTTTCCTGCTGCTTAATGGCTTCCTGCCCCTCCTGTTTGTTGCCCGTGCTACATGCATTGGTGTAGATGCACTTCATTTGGGCTATTGATCCTGCCACTTTTTTTGGGGTAGGAACCCTAAGACATGCTTGACCATTTTCATGTGCTGCTGTGATTTCTAACACACAGTAACCCCTACGTCTTTGCTGCTGGATGGATCTCCATCCATCTCCATACCCCTGCAACTGAGGCAGCAGACTGAAGGAACTTGCTAGCATACCATCCATCAAACATTGATTTACTACCTCCAGGCTTATCTCTAATTATTAATAACGGTTTTATCCCTTTTCCCCTTCAAATCTAGTTTAAGGCTCTTCCAATGAGCCCTTCTAATTCCTGTGCAGAGATCCTTTCCCCCTTTGAGACAGATGTACCCCGTCTGTCACCAACAGGCCTGATGTCGTCTAGATTGACCTATCATCAAAAATCCTAGATTCTGCTGTTTTACACAAGACCGGTTCTATATCTCAGGTTTCACAGCACCACTTTATTAGCATAGTATTTTTCATTTATTTATTTACACCACAGTTTAATGTGCAAGAGCATATACTGCTTACTGCCTGGTACTCAATTTTTGCACAAGGTGAGTGCAACTCATTTGATAAACTGTTAGTGTCTGGAGGGGAGATGTAGACAACAGAGATGGTATAAGATTGCAAGAGCGGCCATACTGTGTAAGATGAAGGGTTCATCTAACTGAAGATCCAACAAAGGCAGTAGGCATGGGCTTACGAAGAGTAAGGAAATGGGGGGCAAGTTGGATAAATCACCAAAGATTCTTTCTCAGCTCCTAAATCTTTTCAGCTCAGTATGACGAGGTTTACCTTTTTAGTAACTCCTAATTGATCTATGATTCAAGTACTTTAATGCCTTTCCTTGAAGTGAGTTGTGCTTTTACCATATTTTTGCTGATGTCAAACCAGCTAGGCACCCTGTATGGTCACAGCAGGAAAACAACTACTTTGAGGTAGCAATTCATATGAAAGGTGCCTAAAATACATCAAGAAATCTTTCCTAAGAAATGGTCATTTCGCTGCAGTCATTGGAAAGGAGCCTACAGTGACTAATTCAAATGCAGAAATCTGCTCTGTAGATTTCTGAAGGTAGATAGAGCGAATCTCCCTTGAAGTCTCTGCTCATCAAATCACCCTTGACTAAATAAAGACCTTGGGTTTCTAAGCAGCCTACCTCCTCAGCACATCCCCATCCAGCCTGGCATCTGCCCAATGGCACTGTCGGCATCTGCTGTGGCTTTCCCTCAGCAGCATGCCCCGGCTGGTCAAGTGGCTGCAGCAATGCTGGAAAACCCATGAATGCTCTTTGGTTCCAAATCTCTCTGAGGTCTTTGCTTTGGAGCACTCAGGAGACACTTGGAGTGACCTCTTGCCACAGAGCAAAAGACTAAAAGCAGGAATGAGTTGTGTGCATATAATCAGCTGGAGAGGGATAATGTACCAAGCCTGGGAGTGGAGGAAGTGAGCAGAGCAAGAGATAGGAGAAGTCATATGCTAATTTAGTCATTTAGACTCCTCTGCAGTCAAGAAAGGAAAAGAAGTCCTCTGAAAACATGTCCAAGCATGGATTTATTCCATCTGGGAAAGCATGCATGAAGTAGAACAAGTAGTACTCTGTAGATGCCCAGCCTCCCTCCTTCCTTCTCTCTCCCAGTTCATAATAGATGGAAATGAGACAACTTGCTGAGAAAATAAAGGGTTGTATTTGAAAGTAAAGGGAAATTCTTCTACTAAAAACTTTGGAAGTCTTAAATCTTTCATTTGTAAAAAGTATGTGCTTCCCTATCACATATCAGGATCTTTTTAAACAGATAAGATACAGAAGCTATGTACACATGGATTTGGATTTTACAACAAACTATTTCAAAATGCATCATTCTTCAGTCATTAATGAAGGACAATGTGTTTTACCAAACAAACTTTAAAAAAGCTGAAACTCTCTTTTTATCCATATTTTACTCTCTTTAATAGTGATGTTAATCTGAAGTAAATCCACTGATATCTGCATTGCCAAAGTATTTACAAGGGATTTGCACTAAAGATTAAAGGTCAGAATATTGTTCTAGAGCACTTTGGGGGGCTGATCTGAGTAAATACCGAGGCATACAGTGCAGGCATGATTGTATTAACTGGACTGTTCAGACCATGGGGGGCATCGAGGGACCCAAGCTCTGGAGGGCATTGAGGACAAATCTGATTGACAACTAGAGATGAGTCAGGCTGTGTTCATTGACACAAGGCTCCTTTACAAATACTGAATAAAATTCAGAAGAGGACATGTGGGCATGAAGACGAGGCAGATGTTGCTATAGTTTATCTGTAAAAACAAGCAGAAATGTCAACACTGTGAAAGGTTCAGAGGGAGTCTAATGAGATCTTAAACGGAACTCATTGGTTTTACAAATACAGATCTTAAGACTGGGTTAATGTAAAGGCTATGTCCATCAGATTGCTGCTGACACACAGGTGCTGAACGAGCTTCAGGTAAAAATTAAAACTGGTAGGCAAGAAAGCTGCTTTCCACAAAACCAGGCAGAAATCAGCAAAGCCTGTGGTTTGCCTATGGAAAGATGAGAGAAAAGGCTTCTAAAGCTGTAGATCATAGAAATGACAAGATTCTCTACAAATGCTGTTGCCCAAAACCACTTTAACCCTGTTAGCTGATCAATGGAAAATTGCAGATGCCTTGCTCAAATACCTCAGCAATTTCTTAAACCTTGCATTCTTCAGCTCTGCTAGAGTTAAAACCACTTCTCAGCTCCCCATTCAAAAGCAGGGAGTAGAGATTCCTACAGCCACTGAGCAGTTGCCACAGAGAAAGGCAAAGTCCCTGTTCACACCCTACCACTGCACATAATTACAGTGTCATCAACTAGTTAGTAAACTGGAGTTCACCACTATCACCTAATAAAGAGATGGTATCTCAAGGTGTTCAAGAAGACAGATGCATAGTGCCTTTTACAATGAAAAAGGTAAAAACACTCCTGCAGAGACACCAAGGCATATTGACTTTCTTAACTGCTGAGAAAAATACATGTCACAATGACATCAGTGGATTTGTGGGTGAGGGTGTTGAAAAGGTTCTTGCAGAAATGCTCTGGCTTACAGCCCTGTCCTGCCTCAAAACAAGCCAAAGTCTCTACTGGGTCTTTGCAGAGCTATCTGAAGACTACAGAACTGCCAGCCATGAGCAGCCCAGAGGCATCTGCATAAATTTGGGTATGCAAATAAGTTTCTGAACATATTTTGGTTCTTTCATGATGGCATCAGGTAATGAAGAGGTTCTCAGTGATGACAAGATGTCAGAACATGTCACTGTCAAAAACAGCCCCAAGCAAGGCTATGTCCTAGACCAGCTCT